GCACCCCCTCGAAAGGAGCCTGAGCCAGAATGTAGGAAAGAGGTGGTGGAGGTCCCGGAGGAAGAGGAAGAGGATGACGATGAAGAGGATGAGAGGCTCCGACAAGAGGTAGATCAGCGGGCGGAGATGAGGGCCAAAAAGAGAGGAGCCCAGGAGGAGGCCGAGCCAAACCTGCCCGACAGCGTGCCTAAGAGGAAGAAGTACGCGGTCCGGATGGAGGAAGGCTTTGATGTGGAGCGGATGGTGGACAAACTCCTGGAAGGCCATAATGACTTGATGAACCTAAAGGACATCCTGGCTTTGGCGCCAAGGCTCCGTGGTGAGTTGAAGGGACGACTRTCGCGAAGGTTGGTGTCAAATGCCCATCTGAGTACGGTCCTGCCTAGAGAGGTGGAGTGGACTGAGGCAGGGACAAGGATGGATTGGAAATGTGTGGCGTGCGGGCAGGTGGATTTGGTGATAAGGAACCAGAAGTATACTGGGATGGTGGACGCGGGCGCAGAGATGAACATCATCAGGGAGAAGGAGGCAGTGATGATAGGCATGGAGATCGACCGCTCGGACCATGGCATGCTGCACGACGCTAACTGCAAGGCCACCTTTTGCGGCACAGCGTCAAATGTGATTATAGAGATTGGGAAGGTGCGAGCCAAGACTTGCTTTTTTGTTATGCCCGATGTCGATCACCCTATCCTTCTGGGGCGGTCGTTCCTGTGCCGGACGGAAATGTTGATCTTCAACAAGCACCACGGAACAATGATCYTGCTCCTGTGCGACCTRGCGTGTGGAAATTATGAAGTTATCACCTGCCAGAACACGGGGCCAGGGAGCGGGAGGAATAGGCCCAATCTAGGCTCGTTCTTCTTTGAGGAGTYAGAGAACGAGCGGAGACGGCTTTYGGAAGTGCCCGAGGAGGAAGATAGGGCAGAGGTGCYGACATTGAGCCTCACGGATGTGAATAAGGCCATGGAGGTGGTATCGGCTCACGACATGGCGGATCCGGAGGCCATTAAGGCATTGAGGGAGCAGGTTTTGGAGAACCCT